TGAGCTTAGTTAGCGGAATTGGCCTGGTCAGGCAAATCAGCGGAACAAGCTTAACCAAAAATGGTGATCTCTCTCTCAAAAAAAAAAAACCATTTTTTCCACTCATTCTTTTACTTCCTCTTCTGTGAAAATCTGTGAAATTAAAAATGAAATTTTGATAGTATAGAGATAATGCCAGAGTGGGTTTGTGCTTCTATCTTCAAATGTCCCACTGGCTTACCCTAATATCCTAATAATAAGTGAAGCTAGCTAAACCAGAAATGATGAGTGCTATTGAAAAGAAAGAAAGAATTTACAAATATACATGTATAGCACAAAAAAAAACAATTTAAAAAAACAAGAGAACAAAGTGCAAAATTATAAACCCACAGATGCGTTACTTTCAGCTTAAAGCAGCAATCGAAAACTCTGCAATAGTTGTATCAGTAGCAAACAGTGCTGCATCTGTCATTAAGAAAAGTGAACGAAAATTATCAGGTAATTACTAGCAAATTTCAAGGAACCCTAAAATTAGAAAAAACTGGGAATTGGGAATTCTCATGTGGTGAAGTTGTCGATATAAATTCCTGGCACTGAGCTTCAGGTTTCAACAATGGGTTGGAGCAATCAATTGTTATCCACTTCGATTTGGCAGCGAAACATTTAAAAATTGTTTATGGTCATGGTACTGTGGATATTTATGATCGCATTGAAGACATCCCATTTGAGAAAAATATCAGTTTAAAAATCGTGGTTGGCAAATATGGTAAATACACAATCTGAAAAGTTTGAAAATGCACTCAGAAAATTAAGAATTTTCGTGCCCTGAAGCAATCAGCTGATTACATTTTTTCTGATTACATTTTTCTGTTGGCTATACTTTATTTTGCAGAAGAGATGAATGGGTTTATCGGATGTTTTACATTTTCTGAACTTCGCATCGGAAACCGTCTCATACCTCCACCATCTGTGAAGGAACAAAGTGATTATGTCTTCGTCGATTGCAATTCACCATGCGCGAATCGAAATTGCAATAAGGTTTGTTTTAATCTGGTTAAAATTTATAAAGAGCACTGGACATAGTTCAAAACATAGTTTTGACTTTTTGTAATTTCATCTGGCTCATACCGAAGACCCATCTAGTTGTGTACACTACTAAAAGTGATTGTCGCTTAAGTTATAGTCATAAGTAAATTAAGGTTACTGCCCACCCGACTAATATTTAGCTTTTACATAAAAAAAAATTTCAAATTCACGAATCAATTTGGTTGTAAAGCATGTTTTTTTCAAAACATTTAAAATTAAAAAATTCGCGAAAGACGACTCTGAATTAAAATTACTTTGAATTTAAGGAACTTAAAATTTTGCTTATTTCTTCAGGGTGAATGTATTGATCTGTTCAGTTACGCTATTTGTGATTGCCGAATTACAGCAATGTCCGGTGAATACTGTGAAAATGGTTGGTGCTCATAAAAAATATTGACATTCAATTTGGAGAAGCACAAATATTTTATGAAATTCCCTTTATCGCAAAATTTCCAATTTTTTTAATCCTAGATCAATCTCATCAACACTAGATGAGTGTCCTCTCCTTTTTTTATCTCTACTTTCAACAGGTAAATTCAACAGGTAATTAAAATAAAAATAATATATAAAATAAAAATATATAAAATAAAAATATATCGTAAAATAATAAACACAGAGTATAGATTTTATAGAAAAAAATAAGGACGAAAGGCCGATTAGTTAAATCTTTCCAAAAAGAATTTTTAGAATTCTTTCCATTATCAACAAAATGATGTTATGATTTTTCTGCGTTAAGGTACCAAAATAATACTTTAATAGTCGCAATATTCTGATTTTATCGCAAATCTGATTATTGTTCCGAGTAAGTTTTTTTTTGCAAATCTTTTGCGGGAATCCACGTAGCATATTAGGCTGTTAACACATCAGTAAATTATTTCATTCCTAGTGGGCTAATATTGGCATTTATTTTCATCAATCCTCAAATTTTGACAAAAGAAATAACGGCATCAACGAAGGGATAAGTGTAGATGACGTAGTGAAATTCTTCTTTTTCTAACAGCTCTCACCATTGCTAGTTAGGCTGGCCAAGCTTCCCGGTCCGATGCCATCGCTAGAAGTAGTAATAGAAGCCATTCTTGTTTCCATCGTTTAAGTCCAAGTTTAAGCAACGAAATTTAATCAACTTCTGTGATGGACGACGTAGAACCTGCCCTAACCAGCGAAGGCGACGCTCTGTGATAATATTATTAATGTAAGTGGTATTTGAGCGAAGGTGGATGCACTTATGTGCGATTTGATCTGCTCCGCGGATTCGTAGAATGTACCTTAGACATGAGTGGTCAAAGACTAATAGCTTCTTAATATCTTCCACTCTCATTGGCCATGTTTCGCAGCCATATAGCAAGATCGAACGAATTGCAGCTATATGGATGTGGATCTTCGTCTTTATAATGATTTCGCGACGATTCCATAAAGATTTCATCAACCGGAAAATATAATTTTGGCTGCCGTTATCCGGGTTACAATTCCATCCTTCGTCCGATCATTTGGGAATAGAGTGGACTTCCTCAATCGGCAATGAATTGGTTAAAATAGGTATTTTATCAGCATCTTATATATAAGACGAAAATATTTTCGTTTTATTTACATTTATTTTAAGTCCAATTCTCACTGAATTGTTCTTCCAATTGTTGACATATTGCTTAACATTATTTGCATTTCCTCACAACTGTTAGCAAAAAGGACTACATCATCAGCGTATTCTAGGTCTGTGATGCTATGTTCTGGACTGATTTGCACACCTCTTGAGTGCCGGCAAGCGATGCCTATTATCCAGTCTATCGCATAATTGAATATTGTGGTGGAAAAGACGCAGCCCTGACGGACACCAGTTTTTATGTCAAAAGAGTCTGTCAGTTCCCCATATACATATATCTGCGCCGACGTAAGCTCATAAAATGCCTTTATGAGTCGAATGATCTTCTCTGGGACACCGTCACATTCCATCACTTCCAGAGCGCTTCTCTATCAATCGAATCGAAAGCAGTTGCAAAATCGATAAAGCAAGAGGGTTGCTGATATTTGAAACGATGTTCCAGCACCTTTCTTAGCGTAAATATCTGGTCGGCACAATTATGTCTCGGCCTGAATCCCGCTTTGTTAGGATACATTCTGCTATCTCGTATTGCCATGAGTCTATATAGCGAAAGTCTTTCCGGATATGTCTAGTAGGCTGATTCCTCGGTAATTATCCAGTACATTCTGTTATTTTTCTTAGGAATTGGAAGCAGAATTGCTTGGCTCCAGTTTTCTGTTATTGTTTCCTTTTGCCATACCAGAGAATTTATGAACGATCATGGTCCAAAGATCATCTTCTTTTGGAATTTTATTGGCCTTGAACTTATGGATTACAGAGATTACTTCCTCTTCTGTTGGCGGCTCACAATTGCAAACGTAAGGCTCGATGGGCAAATCAGTTATATTCGGGACAATAGATGGTGCATCGTGGTTAAGTTCGGGCTCAAAAAATTCTTTTTATTCTTCTGAGGCGATTCTTTAATAAGCGCCCCATTAATATCCCTTACCATTTCATTGACTTCTGAGTTTTGCGGAGAAGGCGAAACAATTTCCTCCTATCACTTATCCGAGCCGCCGATTCCATTCTCAAGGCCATATCGCTCCAATAACGATTTCTATTCCGCCATGCTGCTGTCGTTGTTCTTCTTCGAAGCACCCGATAGTCAGGATCTCCTGATATTCGGGCTTTGGCAGCTTTTTCAGGCAGTTAGACAGTTGCTTCCGACACCCAACTAGCGCACTTCCTATATTATACCATAATGTGGAATTGGCTAGCTTTTTTAGGCATGTCGTTAGTTGGGACCAGTATTCATTTTGGGATCAGTTGGGACCGTTCCAGAGATGTCATTGACATTCATTTCACTGAGGTATTTCAATAATGAGGTTTGAAATGCGCTTATCATTCCCGGATTTTTTAATTTGAGATAGTTGAAAGATCTTGGGGTACATTGCTTCTTACGATTTGTCTATTTTATACGAATTTGGCTCGAACCATCAAATGATCTGATCCATAGCGGTTATTCAGCGCCCCGATAAGAACGACTATCAAGTATAGAACTCTTCCAGCGGTGCAACCAATATATAGTCAAAGACAATATTGATGGGAATATTGGTTGCTCAGAGAGTTCCATGTGATTAGATGTTTCCTCCAATTCCGATGCATTAGTAACAAAGAGTTCATGCCCTTCAGCAAAACGAAGGCGTTTTCCATTGGCCCGAGTTCATCGAAACGACATCATGACCTACGCGCGCATTTCAGTCTCCCCAACTTATGACCATTTCATGTTTCGGTAAGATTTTGTTAGCAATTGAATTTCCGCATAGAACTTATCCTTACCAAGATTTTTGACATCAGGACAGGTTTACTCCTGTCAAAGACAAGGGAAAGAGATAATTAAATTTAAGGATAAGTTTAGAGATGATTTAATAAGCAGAAAAAAAAATTTTAAAAAAAATTTGAAAGAAAAAAACTTATCCGATTCATAGATTCCTTGATGATAAATAATAATTAAAAAATTATAACATAATAATATCGCAACAGATGAAATATCCTTTTTTTTTGATTTATTGGTTAATGAGCAGAGCACCTTTTCGACACACCGTTCATAAGGTCAACAATTTAATAATCTCAAATTATCAGTGTTTTCATGAGTTTTTCAAAGAAAATTTAAAATAGGCCAGAAATTAGAATAATTTTTAGTCATCAATTTATTCCTAATTAAAGAATTATTAAATATTCATAGTATTATAGGATTATTCTTTTGTAGTTGCTCAATCACTAAATCTGTCATGGGACGAATATATTGCATATCATTCCAATAACAGCCAATTTTTACCAAATGATATTTCAATCCAGTTTAAAGTTTGTTTCAAATCATTTAAATTTTTGGAAATTTGAATTTTAGTCAAGAAATCTTATGGTCGATTATTATCATTTTTACTTTTATTTGAATTATTTCTTTTCTCAGACATCTGTGCAAGAAGGTGTCCTCCTTCATGGGAGTGTTTTTTCTGCAGTTGACAACCGATGGCTTGGCGAGCTGAAATTAGCGTTGGTATACGACCAATTACGATTGAATCTTGCAAATCTTGCGGAAATCAGTTTCTTTAACATTAGTTTATCACCAGATAAGTTAGCCTTAAAAGTATCAATCAAAAATATCAATCAAATTTTTTTATGATAAAAAAATCTTTGATGAAATTTTAATTTAAATCTAGTACTGTTTCAGGTTCCATGAAGTGATACTTCAGTTCAATTATATAAGAAATATTGTTTATCTTAGTTTAAATTCCAAAACAAAATGGGCATCGTGGAATACTGGCGAAGAACGATATATAAGGTACATTGATCATTATAGATTGTGATTCATTATAGATAATTATTTATAATAAATCATAATTAATTACCAATTAATAATTAATATTGAGATCTGTTATATAGTAATGTTTAAGGATTGGAAATGAACTATTTTTCTTTTCTGGAGGCAATGAAGTTGGTCTTTCTGGTTGTTTTCGTGAAGTTTATATCGATTTTTTTGATGTAATCGATGGATATTTAAGAAATTCGGAACTGGTTTGCCATATTTCTCCTAAAATCCATTAATATCTGAAAACTTGTATTTCGTTTAAGACAATTATTTCTTCTAACAGCTCTTACTCTTACCATTATTTAGTTAGGATGACTCCGCTGACTACAAAGATAAAGTTTCCTAGCTATTCGATCCGACACTATCGTCGACATTAATAGAAGCCATTCGTTTCTCCATCGTCTAAGTTCGTCATATAGCTGGTCCCCCTATACGTTCAAAATCTTTTCTGATGGTATCAGGCCAGATCTTGATTTGCCCACCTTGCTTTTGGCGACAGCCATTACAGACTTTAGCAAATAACGAAATATGTTTCAACTATTGTGGTTGGCGACGAAGACTCCCTAACCAGTAAAGACGATATTGCGTGATGGTACTATGATGCAAGTGGTATTTAATTGAAGACGGATGCATCATATTTGACTTTATCGGCTCGGCGGACCCATAAATCCATTCATTTTAAAGATTAGTGATCAAAGGATGATAATGATAACTACTTTATATCCTCCATTCTCATCGATCATGTCTCGCAGTCATACAGCAAGATCGAACGCAGCTATACGGATGTAGACTTTCGTTTTTGTAGAGATAGAGATATCTCCACGAGTCCATAAAGATTTCATCAACTTGAAGAAAGCATTTGCTGTTTCTATATGCCGTTATTCTATAATTTCGTCTTTCGCTAGACCATTTGAGATTAGAATAGATCCGAGATATTTAACCTCTGGCATTTTCTAATAAATGCAGCTAATAATAAATTCTATTTGTAAATATCATACCAAACTATTGAGCATTCTTTCTATATAAATCATTCAGTTAATTCTAGAAATATTTCTTAACTACATTAATATTTTTCAATCGCCAATTTTATCATTATTGCCATGTCAGGTGTTAGCCAGTCATCAGTTACAAGTTTGTCAATTTGAAAATGTTTTCGACTCAGCTATTGAGGCTTTGGTCAGTTTTTTGCAGCTTTTTGGGCCTTATTTCTTATTTTAAAACAATACACGCGCCACTGAATGATTTAATCGTAGGCTTGATTTTATGATAAATTTAATAGGCCTTCTAAACTGGATAAACTTTTGTTTAAAATGTAATAAAAACCTTCCCAAACTTCTCCAAAATCTCCTCTCTTCTTTTGGCGTAATTCTTCACTAATTCACTTAAGTTTTCTGTGATTAGTTTTTCTGTGAAGTTTTCTCCCATAATTGCAGCTTTAATTTTCAAAATAAAATTTATGAAAATATAAAAAATAGGTATCGATTGAAATGAAAAATAATTTTATAGGCACAAGAAGAACCAATATCTCAAGAAGAAAACTTACTGGAACGTAATAATTATGGCATTTAATATTATTTAAACCAAATAGATCTTTTTTTTAAATCTTTTTTATTTCTTTTTATAATTTGCCTTTTCAGTAAATTTTACTTTTTTTTATCGTGTTTTTCTTTTCTGGTTTCTTTGCTCCATTAACTATTAGGAAAAGAATTGTTCGTCAGAGAATCAGTGCTGAGGATCCTCAGCATCATCAAGATTTCACTTTTAATGAGAGGCTTATTCTCGTACAATGGGGCCTATGATTGCATGATCTTCTATACATTTGCTCATGCAAATTTTATAAAAAATTTCGTGACCAAGACTTTACCGAGTTGATAATGAGATCAGCGGATAAACGGCAAGGATTGAGTGGACGGTGACTTAGATAATGTGTGTTGAGGCAAACGTTTTCTCTATGGGCGCAAAGCTGTCGTAAAAAATTTCTGGTGGTTTACCAAATGAATCTCTGACAAAAATTCCTAATCGCAGCAATTCCTAACAGCCAGCTGATCTAGTTTAGCTAGCACTGGTGAGCTCTAATCACTTACTTTCACTTTTTTACTTAATCAGTATTTAATTGCGAACTTGCGTGATTACAGTGCTAGTAATAGACAAAAAATTTTTAATATTTATATTAAAATATTTAAATATTCAGGTGTATATTCAAAGCGATTATGCGGCAATAATGAGGCGACTTTTTGCAAGAACCATGTGGAATGTATCAAGAAAAATTCGATTCCTGTTTGCATTTGTCGTAAAGGATTTACGGGTCAATATTGCCAGTTTTGTAAGTACTATGTGTGAATATCGATCATTGCATCAACACATTATTTTAATCACAAACATTTTATTGAATGTATTTAAATACAGTGATAGGATCAAAGATGATGTGAAGAAATTTTAGCCATATTACCATGGAATTGCGATGATGTGCTTGCATTTGGTGATAAAGAACCTGGAATATATATGATAGATGTCGATGGTTCTGGTCCACTTCCAGAATCATACTTGTACTGCGATAATGGCCACGCTATTATTCCCCACAATATGCCAAACAATACTTTAATACGATCGAAGAATTCTGGAAACCTTCATCTTCATATCATCTATAAGTTTGCTTTATCAATATGTTGGCATATTTTATGAGATTTCTCCGTTAATGTGTAATAAGAAATAAACGAGGCCATGATTTTAAAGTTCGAAATCTGCTTTGGCTTTTCAAAATTCTATCAAATCTCGCATAGCGCATCTGCAGCAGCGAATTATTAAACTGCGAAGAGCAACCGAATCATGAGTGAGAGCATTAATAGAGTGGTTTGAAGGTGATTCGGTAAAATGTGTTAAGTGGCGTTGAAAGAATTGTACAGTGAATTTTAAAGAGAAGTCAAGAGATATATTTAGGTTTAATTATTTCATTTAAACCTATTCAGATTATTTAATGAGAATCTCCTGCAAGCTCTCAGAGACAATTCCGAATTTTGCAAGCAGAAAATTCATTACAGTTGTCGAAATGCGCCACTTGGGTTTATTTTCTTTTTTATCATTTTTTTCGAAGCGCTTGTGGTGCAAATGGCACAAAAGGTGTTATCATCGAGCTATAAAACATATAAAAAATTTGTATCGAATATTTGTAGATTTTCGGAGAATAAAACATGGTTCACAAGTATAGGTGATGTTAAATATTTGAGATTAGCTGACGATTCAGGTTCATGCCAATGCAAAAATGGACATTGCGGTTGTATGTTATATATTTAACCTCGTTGAGAAATGTTTATTATTTTTAAATATTACGATCTTTTTGAAGTCTATAGTTCCAACTACTTCTAATCCCGAATCCTTCTACAAATAGTTATTAAATCAATTTATTATATCATCATTAAAATATTTCAAAGGAACCGTTTAGGCGATGAAATGTATAATTATAGGGTGTAATTGCGACGGACGCGAAGTAGCGACAGATTCGGCAGTGATGTACGGACCATTTGTACCAATAACCAATATTTTCGCAATTCACAGTCCAAACGATGTGAGAGGAGAAGTTACTCTTGGACCACTTATTTGCTTTGGAAGTGGTAAGATTTTAATTTTGGATGAGAATTTTTTTGTTAAATCTAGTCTTTTAATTTCCAGTTGGTCATTCACATAATTATATGATTACGATTCGCAACAGAAAAGATTTGATTAATATTGGTGAATGGAAGGGAAATACGCTAAGTTTTGAATTTCGAACATTTGAGAATAATGTGACCCTCATTTCTTCAAGTGATGGTGAAGTATCACTGCTTTTGCATGGAAGACATTTAACACTCGTACTGAATGGTGAAAAGATGGAACTTATGCCACAAGTCAGGTACATTCGAAAGTGGCTTTTTTATTGCCAGTTTTTCCAGTTTTGCTTTATAATTTCTTTTTAAATTTAATTTTTGCTGGATTTCATACCTCCTTAAAATTTGAACATCAGAATAACATCAATAACGTTTGCAAATAAATTTAATGTTTGTTTTCAACTTATGAAAATGATAAATTTGACAATGAAGAAAGCGTTCACCATTTCTGATTACCTTCTCTTTTTATGGATGTCATTATGGTTCAAAAAAATTTTGTCAAGAAGTAATTTGATGCGGATAAATCACCAGTACCACCTTTATTCCTTTTGGAAGTAGAAGTCACGCTCTTGTATCTTGACATTTAATGCTTGAAATTGATAAAATTTTGATAAACTCATAAACTCATCATTTGACAAGTAATTGATAAACTCATCATTTCTGGTCATTTCTTTTACTATTTTATTGTGTATGAATTTTAGAGATGTGAAGGCCAAAAAAACATTCATTTATAAGGCAATTTCAAAAAGAAAATCGTAGAAAAATAATAAGAATACCTCAGGTTCCACAGATGGTTAAAACTGCCAAATGTCTTCAAAAACTAGATGTCGTCCTCTCAAGAACTGTCAGCAAAAAAGAAGCTGATAAAATGCCTCTTTTTGTAAATTCATTGCCGCTTGAGGAAGTGCCTGATTTCAAATACCTTGGGTCCACACTAATACCAAATGAACAGGCAAAAGATGATATTATAACTCGAATCACGGCAGCTAGAAATGCGTTCTTCCGGTTGAAACCTTTATGGAATCGTCTTGAAATCATCATAAAAACGAAAGTTCGCATCTATATTGCCGTGATCCGTTCGATCTTACTATATGGTTCTGAGTCATGGCCAATGAGAGTGGAAGATATTAAGAAGTTATCTGCCTTTGACCACTCTTGTCTAAGGTATATTTTACGGATTCGCCGAGTGGATAAAATCTCACAAGATCGTATCCACCTTCGTTCAAATACCACTTACATAAATAATATTATCACAGAACGCCGCCTTTGCTGGTTAGGGCACATTTTCCGTCGTCCACCACAGGAGTTGAAGTCGCATATTTCGTTATTTGCTAAATCGTGTGATGGTCAAAAGAGATGGGCCAATTAAGACCTGGACTGATACGATCAGAAAGATTTTGAACGTATAGGTGGACCAGAAGGATATGGAGTTAGACAATGGAAAAAGGAATGGCTTCTATTACTGTCGACGATGGCATCAGACCGTGACGCTTGGAAGCGTCTTAACCGTTGGAGCCACCTTAACCAGTAATGGTGAGAGCTGTTAAAAGAAGAAGTCGTCCTCTCAAATCTTTTTATATTTGTTCCATTTCAGCCTTGTACAACTTCCATTATGCTTCCTTATTAATCCAGTCACCGGCATGTTATTTGATAATTTATAAATGTTGTCGCTTTGAAAAACGTATATTCGAGCTTCGTTTCTGATTATTATTAATTCATCGGCAATAAAAACGTGATTATTTTGCAGGTTAAACGATGGCCGATGGCATCGCATTACTATAGAAATTATTGATGGCACTGCACATTTATTAATTAATGGCAGTAATAGAGAAGATATATTTGCAGTGGTTCTATTCATAAAGAGTTCGATCGCACTTGGCGGGTATGTTGAAGATCTATTAATGCTTTAATGTTTATGCTTGCTTTTTCTTAAGTCGATTCTAATTGTAATTGTAACTATAATTGAAGAGGAAGAGATGGCTTTCTTGGATGTTTCCGGCAAGTTCGATTTAACGGAAAGTTGTTGAACATGGAAAATTTGTTGCATAATCGAACTGCTCAAATAGAACTTGGATGTAAGGACAAATGTGCTTCGTATAAATGCGAACATGACAGTAGATGTGTGCAAAACTTCAAAGATGGGAGTGTTCGCTGCTCTTGTCAAAATGATTACATTTATTCAGGAAAATATTGTGAAATCAGTTATTATTTTTCATTTTTAGATTTTTAGATTTCGCTAAAATTTTTCATCATAATTATAAAATTGCTACGATTTAGAGAAAAGTTTTTTCCTTGAATCCACATTTTTCTTTTCGCTTTTTCGAGGTAATCGTTCTATTTTTAATTTTCACACCTTCATGGATTATTTTTATTAATAAAAACAACTAGTTAACAAACTTAGCGAAATTTGGTCTCTGGATGCCCGGAAATCAGTCATGGATAATGGAAAATTCCTTATGAAATCCCTAGCAAAGATATAATTCTCCAGATATTAACAATGGCAGCGAAATAAGCTTCCATGACTCAAAATGGGGATTTTTGAAGATATTGAATCCGTTAATCAGTGATGTCTTGAAGCAGCGCATCATCTTCAGCATGAAAACTGATCAGAAAGATTCACTTTTATTATATCTGCACGATCATTTGAATAATTTCATTCAGGTAAAATTATTTTTTGCGCTTAGAAATGTTAATGTTGGAAATTGATTCTTTGGCTAAATGGTTATATGTCTAGAATATTTGAAAAAATAAAAATAATAAAAAAAATTAAACCTTTTAAAAATTAAACATGACAAATAAGAAATATATCGCTTGGTCATTCACTTTTGAAAGCATTTCATGCAATTGAGTGAACGAATGAACTAATGCATATTGAGTTATAACGTGGGTTTTAACAATCAGGAGATATCGTTTTTTATTGCCTATTTTGCTAATAGAGATTGAAATGTTTTGACTAAAAGTATCGTGGAGTGGTATGAGCGGTGATTCAAGCCGTACATTCGACTTCTGTCCATTAAATTAAGACAAATTCCAGCTGGGGGTATTGGGGCCCAACTGTAATTCTATTTTCAGGTGACTTTGTGATGAAGGCCTTATCTAGTAACCATACCAGAATTTAGCCAAACCAGAAGTGGCAGTAAAGGTAGTAGAAAAAGTGGTAGGTGGTAGTAAAAGAAAAAGAAAGTAAATATTAAGTATTTGTTCAAATTTACGATAGAGTCGCCCCACAGGTGAGTCACCAACCACCGCAATTTTTCAGTGGCGTTAATTCTGGCAGAGATTATAACACAAAACCTTTGATGCTAGTCACAGATCGATGCAATCACACCAACCGATTATTTCTTTCTTTTCTTCGTAGTCAAAATTGAATATCATTTTAGATACATTTATCAGATCACTCTCGTATTGTAGTTACGCTTAATTTCAATAGAACGATTAAGAAATGTGAAGTGGTCACACGTGTTGGACTTGGTTCGTCTTTTTTCCTTAGATTCTTAAGATTTTAAATTTGATTTGGAACTTTTATCCATGCTTTAATTATTATGGATTATAATGGGTGTAATAGTGTAATAGATCCATATACATTGATCCATATATTTGCATCTCAAATCAATAAGTTTAATGGAAATCATTTGTGTAAAACGAAATATATGATATTAATTTAGAATACAGTCGCATGCGATGGATTCAGATCATGCTGTTTCAAAAATTTGACCGCATTGAATTAAATATCGATGATGAGATTTGCGAAATCGAATCTGAAAGGATACTATCGAATGATTATATAGAGAACTTCATTTCAAGCTTGAACTTTGACAGTAAAAAACAGTTCATTAGTTGCTGCATCAATGTTGGTCAAACATCGATGCTGAAGTTCCATATATATCTTTGTTCTATCCCAAGACTCTCTTACTGGTCTCATCTAGTAAGCCAACCAAATTAAAATTGGTTATTTTTGTCAGAAGAAGAAGAAAAATTACTCTGGCTAATTTCTGGCTTCGACCTATGCGAGACCATGCAAGACTAAAATTAAAATACAATCTAGTTGACAAATCGAATAAAATAAATCTGTTGAAAAATCTGATTATTCATCAATTTTAGCTATAGTGATACCATCTGTATCGCCGTTCAAGACCACTGAAAGTCAGCAATATTCAATTATGTTTATCGGTGGTGTGCCTACAGAGAATTATGATGGGAGATTAAATCCTGTATATCGAAGCAACTTACCTAATTTACTGGGTTGTGTACGAGGTCTTATGATCGGCGAGCGATTGATTGATATGCGCGATCGAACCTTCTGGCCATATTTTAATTATGAAAAAGGTTTTTTTCCAGTTTTATTTATTTTTTATTCAGTGAATTCATTTTTATCATTTTATTCCTTATTCATTTTATGCCTTTTATTCTGATAAATAATTCTTTGAGAACAGGAGGAACTCGAACAAATATCATAAAAGTAATCTAATCCGAATGGGGTTGAAGAAGTTAAATATTTTTATCTCCAGGTGACTTATCTGGCGAAGAGATTTTATCCTAATAAAGAGTAGAGTTATGATGAGTGTTGTTAGAAGGAAAATTTGTCTATTATTGTATTATTGTTTACAGATGCAATTAGATTCGGTTGCTATACTGGGTGCGAAAATATTGAACCAAATTGTAAAAATGGTGGGCACTGTTCTTATGACTGGCTTGCTCGGTTTAATAAAGGCAGCTTTGCTTCTTGCGAATGTTCAAAAACATCATATTATGGCAATTATTGTGATGAAGGTGTGAAAAAGTTCATTTAAAGAATTGTGGAATAAAGTCTCTATTGCTTTTATATAGCAAATGACCCATTATTTTTTGATCCAAATATCAGTCTTAGCGGAAACCCATTATACTTTTGAAGAAGGCCTATCTGGCCAGTAATAATTTCGATTATCTTTTTCAGATATTGGTGCAAGATTTAATGAAAATTCGATTATGCAATTCCGAATCGGAGAGGTACTGGACAAAGTAATCTTCGATTGGTCTAAAATTGGTGAACATTCAGTTAATTTTGCATTTTCGACTAATGATTCTGCAAAAGTGCGCCAGATAATGAAAATCTATTTTAAACATAACAGGTTTGTTTTCAACAAATAGCGAATTATTTTTTTAAAATATTTTTTAATATTTTTTTTAGATTCCAGTAAAAATTTATTTAAAGAGATCTCTTTTAGGGAAAATTAAATTAGAATGAACAGATAACTTACAGTGCAAAATAAAATAAAATAAATACCAAGTGGTTTAGAACAAAAATTTTTTTTGCCGCTGATGTGGTTTTAAAAAAATTTTCCCAGTATATTCCACTTTTTACCGTTATATTGGTAACTAAGTGATTCATTGTACTGTCTATTAGTACGGTTAGAAAATTTTTCCAGAAGAATTTTGCGATATAAAAAAATACCGGTCACCAGCACAGCGCATTATTTTAATAGCTGTTGATCGAACCTTTGATGCTTAACAGATCTAAGAAATTACTTCAATGAGCCATCCCTCCCCTTTTTTGTTTCCCTTTTGTATATGGATTTTTTAGATTCCTGGAGATTATATTATGCAAAAATGGCTCGCTTAATATCCGTATTTCTTCATTAGATGCCACTTATGTGACGACTTTTCCATATAATTATTCTGATGCTTATAGGCATTTTGTACAAATCATTTTCAGTGCAGAAAAATCGTTAACAGCTATTGTTTGTTTTCGAGATTTTGATACCATTACTTACCACATTTTTCACTGAATAATTTGAATAATTTGACTGAGAGGTTTTTTGGTCAAAATTTTTAGGTGGATTCAGTGAGTTTGACGTTTAACAGCGTTTTTGCTAGAGAATTTTCGCTTGGAAATTCTGTCATATTCTACATTGGTGGATTGATCCACGAAGATGATCATCAAGAACTTTCTATATTTGACACCAAGAAGCACAACTATTCAGGATGTTTGTCGAGTATGTTATGCCTCCCTCTCCATGTTTCAAAAACGACCAAGTTTTTTTGTCGACTTGTTTATTTGGTCAAATTTCATTTCAGATATTGATATCAATTTGAATGTGGATAATATGCATTTCGAACCTATTTCATATCTGTATAAAAAGAATGAACGTTTCGTATCCTACTTTTCTATTTCGGGTGATTTCCCAGTCCTGGGACGATGCGCTTTATTTAGAACTCCTGGACTATTGCCGGGTATTAATTTATCCAGTAATTCAAACTCATTTTTTCTCAGAGATGCATTTAAAAATAACTTCGCATTTATTTTTCATAAGCAACTCACCATTTTGTTTAGGATTTTTTTATACGATTAGAAATTTTAATCGAAAATCACTTGCTATTTAGGCTGATTCTCCTTTGACAGAAAAGGTAAAAAAGTATGGATAAGTTCCCAGCATAGTTCGCCTTTTATTGCATAATGTAATGTTCTTTTGCTAAATACACAGAAATTTCTACATTTTGCATTTTCTTTTAACTCAAATTTTTAAAATTTTTAATATTTTTTTATCATTAATCTATGCAAAAAACGTTGATTTTATAATTTACAATGAATATTTGCCGATTATATGAAATTTAGTAGTTCGAAATGATATAATTTCTCCTGAATGGGATTCTCCATTCATCGTTGAGCATTTCGAAATTGCTAATGCAGATCCGAGAAAATCTGGAGAAAATTTAATTTGTCAGTGATTCCTTTTTTTCTTTTTCATTCTAAAACTTTTTCTTTATTAACAATTTATTTATTTCGATTTTTTGGCAAATTTCTTGAACCAGATTAACCCAAATTGAATAAAGTTAAATAAACATTAAACCAAATTGAATTAAGTTAAATAAACCTATTTCAACGGAAAATCTTCCTTATCTTATTTACTTGATACATGTCAAATTATTATTTCTTAATTTTTCATTCTTGGAGCGTAGCTGCGGTGAATGTGAAATATTTGTTAATAACCACTAGTTGACAAGAAAGATCGAATGAAATACTAAAATACTTTATTGTCTAAAGCAATTTTAGGGATATCTTATTTTCAGGGGTTATCATTATAATAGTTTTACTGACAATGTTTTTGGTTACAATCGTTGGATTTTTTATATTGAAGAAACGATCGAGCGCTTCCTTTACACCGAGTGATTCGTGTTATTGTTCAGGTGCCTTTTACAAATTTACGAATGTGAAATTTATACTTTTTTGATAAAATGTTGCTATTTTGCACTAATGTTAGTAATACTGATAATTTTCGAAAAGTTTTGAAAATATTCAAAATGGGTCATTTTTAATGAATTTTATTACAGAAGTTCCATCGAATGGAAAACCTACTAAAGCTGAGGCAATTCCATTAATATATAAAAAAGGTTAATTTATGCTCCTATTTTTAATTTCAAATGTAATTTTATAATTATAATTTATAAATAATTATAACGCTTGTAATTTTAGATTATTTAAAAAATATACCTGAGTTAAATAAATTTATCCCAGTGGAAAATTTTACTTATATGACTACTGTTGTCTCAAAAGTAGGTTTTTTATTTTTTTCACTGTTTTTGTTGATTTTGTCAAAGATTTTAGAAGTTCTATTATTATTATTATCATTATTGAAAAAATAGAGTTTTTTTTTGTGAATCTATTTGGTGACTTCCCCTTTCTTCTTAAAGCATAGGAACGAGCACTTTCTTTCATAAATAAAAAATTTATTATCCTTATAAAATATTATTGACACCAGTGGCAATGGATTGAAGTTACATAAACCGATTCGCAAAACTGGTATCTGGCCCCATCATTTCTCCTCTAGATGCTTTAACTCATGCTGCAAATTACGTAGTGATTTTTTGATTTTTCTTCAGTTTTAAAAAGATAACATTAATCATGATGTCTACAGTCGATTTTGTGAAAAATATCATTTGTTGTTATTTTAAATATTTTCAATTTGCAAAAAAATAGGATTCTTGATTCTTTTCTTAGTTAATAAAAATAAGTGATGATAAAATAAAGAATAATAAAATATTCATTATAGGTATCAAATACGAGAATTAAACAAGCTCAGCTTGAGGTGCCAATTGCTAATATAAATGAAACTAATCGAATTTCCGTTATATCCTACGATTCTTAGATTGCATTTGACTCCTTATATTTTTTAATACAATTTCCATCCTTTTTTTTTGCGTTTGCTTCTTCATTTCTTTTTTGCCAATTGTGGTATTCTCACCTTTGTATCATTTATTAACCTTTATTAACCATTTTTTTTACCTTTAATTATATCAAATAAATCTATGAAATCATTGAAAACAGCTCTTTTAATTTTATTTAAAGAGATTTTAAGCTCTAAAAATTATGGAAAAGAAATAATTCAGTCAACCGCTAGTATCAGCGGATTTATAAAACGGATTTATACAATTTTTAAATAATCCTTAGGGATAAAATAAATTTTCGAAGTTGCTGCTTATTTAGCAAATTGACTGATTTACTTCTTGAAATTTTTTTCTTGAAAATCTTTTAAATTTAATAAAGATTAGTAAGGATTTACCATTTCTGATTAAACGTGCTCCATTTATTATTACTTGAAGTACAATTGAGTAATAAGCATTATTCTGATTGCGCCAAACGAAGGGTTAGAACCTTATTGTCCGAGATGACAATGAGCGATAACCGCGGCTATCCCTAACTAACAAATAGTAAACATTAAAAAAATCATATGAATTTTAATTAATTAATTAATTAATTTAATTTAAATAATATCCCAAGAAATATTGCAATGAATTGGAACAAAGAAAGGTATTATGAGAAACCAGAAGAAAATGATGGACTGTATGAAACAGAATTGGATTCGACGCTAAAGGAAAGATGAAAAAATATTTGAACGAAGATGAAAAAATTATCCAACAGAAATGGATCTGTAAATTTGTAAATAAATTTTTGCAAATTTTTGCACATTTTTACAGATGGGCCCCTCGCACCATCGGATTTTTTAATATTTACGAGTAAGGCTATTACGAAATTAGCAAAAGTATGATAGTGTGATGGCATACCTTGCTTTTGTTGCAATATTTTAATATTTTTTATTTATCCAGAGAAGGGAAATTTCTTATGAATTTTGACATCATAATAAATACTACTATATTCGGTGATCGAAGTGTCGTAAAAAATCATAAAGAAATTTGTGCTGCTGGCGACTCATTCTATAGTTCTGTCGCAAAACTCTGACTCCCTGGCAAAAATTTTTAAGTATACTGACCAACTGAAATAGATAATCGCTTATAATAAATTTACAAAAATTTACAAGCAAAGAAAGGTTCACTGAAATGTCGACTTCTAATGGAATAATAAGCCAGCGGCAAGTCATTCTTAAAATATTTTTCGAATGTTTCCAAATGCACTTGCTCGACTGTTGGACCGCTTGATGTTTAAGCGATTTGTCTTTTTTTTGCGGATTTATTTATGGCATCAAAATTATATCCCACCTGATGCTCTCATAGTTATTATATTTTTAATATATATTCAGAAATCTAAGAAGTGGTTCCTTTAATTCACCATTTCTGATTTGGTGAGACTTTTCCTAAGAGATTCACATGGAGATAAAAGACGAGTTCTTAGCACCACGCTGATTTTACTTTTAATGATAAATTATTAAATGAGGGAACCAAAATCATATCTTAGTTGACCAACATATCACTCACTGCTTAAACAGATATATTAACATACAGAAATTAAATTTTCTTCTTGAGAAGTGAAAACATTAACACTTAAAAGGAAAATAACCAATTGGTGCTTAAATAGTGTAGGAATTATTTATTCAACTTGATAAAATTTCTTAAATTTTAGTGGCTTTAAAACATAGATTCAAAAGCAATAATATTTCTGTTTATGACATGTATAAAATTTAAAACTTTGATGCTTTTTACGATAGCAGCAAGAATACGAAATGCATACATCAAATTTATGAAGCTAGAATTTATGGGTTATGTAATAGCACAACAAACGTTGGATAGCACTGCGACGGAATAAGAATGAAAACTGTCGGTTAAAAAATTGTATTATCAATACATTTATTAGAGATCTGAGGCGGTAAAAGCAAACTTATAAGGATCACACGTGCCATTTAAAAGACGTAGCGAAATTTCGCCACTAATTTCTCAGATTTATAATCCTTGCTGCTGAGGTAATACATTTTCAAAAAGCTGTGGAACTGTGTCCCTGAAACAAATTTTTTATTAGTCGGGACTGGGTAACTAGAAGAGTCACTTTTGCCAAGGAGTCACTTGGAGACTTGGAGACAGAAGTTTAGATAACTGAGAAGCATCGCCTGGGTTAATTAATAATAAGCTTACTCTTACTAGGACAAGGAATTGGGTTATTGATGCTGGACATAAATCAAAGTAACCATAACATTCGATCTTTCCAGCCCCATATAAAGAAGTGCTCTCCAAATTTTTTTTGAACAAATTCTTACTATATCCATCTAGTTTACCTAGTTAAAGTATGCGAAAGAGTTTCCTTATAGTTGCACCATGACTTTGTCGAAGTAATGGTATTTATTTTCAGTAAAATAAAAATGTGCATAAATATAAGTACCAATAACCTGAAAAATAAAATTCTTTTAAAAAGATAGTGTAACCAGTAACTTAAAAAAAATCTTTCTAGTCACATTAAATAAAGCAGAGACTTGCAAAAACTGCACTAAACGTGTGCTTAAATGGATTAATGGCCGCCAAAATAAATAAAGGTGAAAAAAACTTGCAAAAAATTGATGAGTATCATGTTGATGACAATACCACGATTTTGGATAGGACAATAAGTTTGAGTTTGAGCATCATTTAAAGTGTGAAATCGTTTGTCTAAAATGATTATTGCAACATCTAAATTTATGAATATTTCAAGAAGATTTAAAAAATTATATTCCAGTGAACGAACCACTTAAAAGGATCTAAATAAAAGTTTATGAAAAGTTTATGAAAAGGTTTTCAAGATTAGAGCAGAGTAGATACGCTTTATGGTAGAAGCATTCCTTTGGTCGCAAAAATTTAAGACGTAAATAGATGGCTATGATCAGAACACGAACTTTTTCAGAGCATAAAAACCAATAATAAAGAGGTAAATTGAGATTAGATTATGATAATGATAACCTTGTTTCAGTACATCAAGGGGAAAATCTATTGTTTCGAATTTCTTGGAAATTATCAACTTTCTACGAGCTGTTGTAATTGCACTGCAAATTTTATATTTGATTATACATTAAAATATTAAATATTAAACAATATTTTTCGTAATTATCTTGCAATTTAAATTTGAAACAATAAAACAATAAAAAATACAGTAAATAAAAATTGATTTACTTATTATTACTCTCATCGCTGATATCACTTGTGTCATTAATGGATTCTGGCGTTTTTGACATAACTGTAAGTAACGATGATGACGATGAGGAAGTATTCATTTCACAATACTTCATTAATGTATCTCGAAGCGCGGAATAATGGTTTTGAAGTCCTCCATAGACGCTTTTCTCTATGAGTGCTGTAATTGCCACCGGTTTATATGAAATCCTTAAAATATTTAGCTACCACTGAAATCCACGAAAATCTTAAAATTTAACTTTCAGCAAGAATAAATGAATAAAAAACTTTCTTTGTTTTATCATGCTTATATAATTTCATTCAAGGAGAAACCATAATTAATCTGGATTATCGCTTTTTTATCATCCAAGCTACAACAATACCTTTAAGAAATTTCCATACACTTTTTTTAAAGAATAATCCGCCATTAACAAGCAATCGTGAATGACTATCATCGACTTTTATTAGACAATATGTACACCTTACAAAAAAACTGTCCGCACAAGGTGTTCCAGAATTCTGCACTGATTTGGATACCAAATATCCACCATCTTCCGTTTTCTTGTATATCTTTAAAAGACTGTATTTTTAGAAAAATCAATCAGCACAAATCAAAATTTTAGTTGGGAATATTTGCAAGCAAATGAATTAATTTTCTACCTGCTTTTCTGTTACGAATGTAATTTTTGGACCCACTGTATGGTACAACAGCATCGTATACCTTACATTTCTAGTTGCCTCCTCAAATTGATCCATCAGCCACTCAGAGCATCTGTATTCTATAAGTTTATCTCCATCAGAAAATAACGAATAGCTTACAAAAACTTTCTGACAAATAAGATAAGGAAAGATCCATATTTCATCCCAGTTTTAAATTTAAAAAAAGCATAAGAGTCGGTTCTTTTCAACAATTTGCAAAAATTAATTTTATTCAATTTTATTCTATTCACAATGTAAAAAAAATTTGATCATATTAAGTTTGATTAAAAATTAAAGTTAAAAAAATGTCATCGTACCATTAATGGATTCTGGAAGCCGAAAATAAGCTGAAAATGGGAAAGTATTAAGTTCAAGGAAAAAGGAAATTTATAAATTGATTAATTAATTAATAGTAAATTAGATCACTTCCAATGTTTGACTTAACTTGTGCTTAAATTACATTATCACTAGACGAAACAAACTGAAGCTGCATATTTATAGAACAAAAATACTAATTCATAATTTTTTCAATAGTCTTTCCATCATCTGTTAGTTTTAAAATGCTGCCCTGGCAGAAGACCTACCATTAAAGAAAAATTCGAGTGGAGCTCTGGTTTATCTGTATTTCGATCTCTAAATGACTCCCTGGCAAAAATTTTTCATCCTACTATCCTACTAACGACCAGCAGAATTGATAAAAAATGGTGAACACCAACCATTTTCATATTAAGTTTTAAAACGAAACTAATTAGGACTGCTTATGATATTATTAGGCCATTTTTAATTCATTATATTTCTGTTAACATTCAAATTTCTGCAAAAAATGAACTAATGATACGTATCAGCAAGAGAAGAGTTTACATGTCGTGCGTAATATATCTGATAGCTGTTGGTACCATGGCACTCTGGCGAAAAGTATTCCAAATAATTCGGGGGTTGATAACGGAAAAACTTCATTGAGGAGCTCCCGTCCAATATGTTCGTCACAAGTGCATAATTTTTTTACATCTAGATTTTTTTAAAGTTTTATTGGTATTTTTACTGGCATAAATTGCTGCTTAGATGGCGAAAAATATCAAAATTAGATTAAATTTAGAATTAAAAAGGCCTTTGTCCTTTCTCCTTAGACCTTAGTTTAGTACTTTCGGCAGGAGTAACCTTGTTATTTAAATATCAGAATTGGAGATCACGTATACTTCTAATTCCAAGTGATTCTCTGGTAATCTCCTGTTGTACTAACAGGGGAGTGGGCCTCACCAGAAAACAATGCTAGCATTAGCATTTATTTACTAACAGTTTTTTGGAAAAATATCACTTTTTTGATGTATTATTTAAGAATTTAAGAAAAGAATTTAATTTAAGAAAAAAAGCAAAATTGCACCAAAGAAAATTTATAATTAAATGGTACTTATTAAATGGTACTTTCATTTTCTATAAAATAAGGTGCTGAAAGCAATTATTATGGAGATAAATGAAAAAAACGAATTTTCTTAAATTACCAATCTTAATATTTCTTTTCGAACATTCCTCAATTTGATCATCGATCCGTGCAGAATTGGTAGAATTTTTTTCGACAATCATAATGTCATCTGATAATTGACTGAAAATTTATGATCAAAAAATGAAAAATAAATAAATAAATAAATAAAATGAAATATATATATATATATATAAACATAAAAAACAAATCATTATAACGGCTTTAAGATTCACCTTGGTTGCAGAACTTGTTAAATTGTATAATTAACTGATTATATAATTAAAGAAAAATTAAACGAGCGTTTACAAATTATCTTACGTCAATCAACTCGATTACTCGAGAACATTTGCAAATCAGAAGATATGGAATTTTGGTTGATGTAAATGTTTATCGAGGCGCATTTTCAGAAATCTTCGTTAAATATCTCGTCTGAATCAGATTCGATCTGGATATTCGCATATGGCTTGATGATACTCTTCCCAAGGAAAGGATACGGAAACTGCTTGCCTCTGCTACAAACCCTCACCGGATTTTATACTTTATAGAATAGGAGAATAACCAATCAACTCCAAATAACTATTCCGCTGGCTGATTATCTAATTAGTCAAGATTAAGAACGAAAACTTACTTTTTGTTAACGAAAATAACAACACTTGAAGCAGAACTATGTAAAAAGCTTGCCTGAAAATTTCTTTCCTCCAATTTGTATGCGAAAACACTAACTTATAGCGAGTAAACGACATGAGAAAAATCTTTTTGGTGGATTTCATCCATTTAAATACTTTTCCAGCTACCATAATGTGCTAAGCGAAAGTGATTTAAAAAAAAGGAAAAATTTCATAGAATTAAAATGGATGGAATGGATGGATGGTTTAATCGAATTATTGACGAAAGAAAGAATTCATTCAATTCCGCAAAATTATTCAAAATATATCTAAAGCTATAGATACATGAGATTGCTCAAATTTATCGTCTTGAATCTCAAGGATCGGATCTCAAGAACAAGGCTGCCATTAAAAAATCAAGCTGGTGCCGAGGAACTCGCCTGTATTCCTGGCCCCGAATGGTTTGAACCGAATGACCTTCTGCCAAACGAGTGCTACAGTCAACGGAATCAGCCAAACGAGAAATGCATATGCATAACTTAAACATCTTCTAAAAATGAGATAAAATGACAATTTTTCCATAAGAGGAAACAAATGCGATGCGATAAACCAAATTTGGAAGCATGCATCCACTTCGTAAAATCCTATTGGAGAAAATAAAAGGAATGATGATAAATGAGAATATGAGAATTATAAACTAAAAATAATTAATAATTCAGCGTACTATAGAAGTATTTCAGTAGAAATGGATAAAGAGATAAGCGCCACCAGCATAAAATGCATCACAGTTTATATCTTATCAATAAAGTTCCAATTTTTATTTGCTTATTTATTTATTAAATTTTTATTTATTGTTTATTCCTGATAAAGATTGCACCGTTTAAAAAACTTTTTTTTTAAAATTATTATCTACAAAATAATAAAGGGGAAAATTAAGCCTACTACGATTGGCTAAAATTTCACATTTTCGTACAGAACTGGATCGATGAGTTAGCAAATACAGACAATATTATAATATTAGAGTAAAACAATATGGCGCAATACAGCGATTGATCGATACATTCGCCTATCATGACCCTTAATCGGTAGCCATTTCTCAACCACTTTTATCCATCCATCACAGTCAACCTACTTTTTTCATTTAGAACAATCTAACTTGCATGAATTTTTTTCAAAAAAAAAATTGACGAATTACTGTTGCAAAGTTGCATAAAAAATTATTGCCACAAAATTTCGAAATCGCAAAATCGCAAAACTCTTGGAGTAACAAATTAATCTTTTTATAATCATTAATCTACAGCCTGCTGAGACATTTACAGTATTCAGGGTTCAGATCCAGGCCCGTTAGGACCATTCCGGAAGCAAAATTCGGAAGATATTAGAGGACAACATGTATTTCTATTTCTAAGCAGCAGTCCTCTGGAGTGATTCTCAAAAAATTAACATCTATGTGGCTAACCTAACTATATAGTAATGGTGTGCTACAACCTATTCTTTTTATTTAGCATTATAAATGGAATAATTGCAGTGGAATATCGTCTCTCCTGTATACCAGTGGAAATATAATTTACAATGCAAGGTTAACTGCGGTAATTGATTGCAGTAATTAATTCTAAAAAATTCTAAAAATTTATAAATGAGTTGGCAGCAAAACAAAACAGTCGGATGACGGTAATAATGATGATAAGACAGCTGCTGGCTAGGCCTTTTTAAATTTAAAATTTAATTAAAGCTAAAACTTAATTTCAAAAAAATTGATAAAATCCTTTTAGCCTTTTTTAAAACTAATATGACCAATTCATCCGATAGCAATTGAAAATTCTTTCTCTTCGTTGAATAATCAAAATTGGTGAATTTACAATTTAAAGTTTTTACAATTTTACAATTTAAAATTTACAGAATTTACAATTTAATTAAAAAATGGAACTTATAAATGATTGATTAATTACTACTTCTTTTTGAAATCCGAAAAATAATTCAGTTTGATGAAAAAGTACCTAATTTTACAAGGTTTGTTTAATAAAAATAAAATTAATTTTCATAATTTATCCCTTTTTTAAACTAACGGAATTATTTTATTCTATATTAATTTATTAGTCGTTCTAATAGATTATTATTTATTATTTTCAATATTTTTCCAAATAATTTGCTAATTTTGAATTATTAGAGAAGTAGTGATAATTTTTATCAATAATGCTTAATAACAAAAATTTCAAAATTTCAATGCCCAAAATTTTCTGTGATTTTCTTCAATTTTCAATGTATAAAGCGATTTTCTATTGACTTATCGTGAAAAAGTGAAATTTTACAAATAAGATGAACGAAACAATCAGTAATCTATGCATGACGACAGTGATATTATCAGTGCCGCGAAAAAATCTCAGGTGTCATGCATCGCTAGCATATTCTTTCCATTCATCTCCTTTACTAACCAATTATTTATGTTTGAAATGTTATTTGTTTTTTGACAAAATTATTTTCCATTTTCATGTGTTAATTAATCGCCGAGATATTTTAAAGGCAAACAGGATTCATTTTTTCTCATTATTATTTATTATTTATTACTTTATTACATTTCTATTAAAGACAATTAACAATAAAAATGGAACAATTCATATATTCTTACCGAGTGATCTTTTTTTCAATAACAGTTTCTTGCTTTATATTGTTCTTGAATTTTTTGTATGTTTGCCATTTTTTATCAGTAAAAAGATGTTTTAGGGTAACACTTCCCTGAAAATATAAACGACTTTAATGTTGGTGCTTCATTGCACATGATACGAGCAAGCATTGAAAACTACGTGGAAATCCTGCCAACAAATATTGCATATGGAAATCCGATAATAAATGCTCAAGAAGACCGCAAGTGAATTGACGAACCACAAGTAAGAGTAGAACGGCTCAATAGGTTGTTGCTCAATTTGGAATGCCGATGGTGAGGTTCTACTCCCTGCTCCCCGCACTGATGCGGGGACTCACCTATACTTCTATCGCCAAGGAAGCGGAGCGAGTCTAAGTCCCTAATAATGAGGACTCTTTAAAAAAAAAGTGGTAGAGTGGAATGTTGCTCCAACTAAGGTAAAGCACCAGGTCAAGCATTTTTCATTCTTCTGTCCTTTGACAGAAGTAAATATATCAAATGAAATTATAAAAAAAATAGAATTTTTTTTTTTAATTTCAAGCCATTCTTTATTTTAATTATTAATCTTTTATTTTCTTTGCGTGTAAACATGTCACGAAATCTAAGATCCAGCTGGAGAGACCTAACTGTACTTCTATCCTTGGCTATGATGTTTTCATCAACTGAAAGCAAAAAGTTTTTGAGAGCTCGCAAAAAATAACCGGAATATGATTAAGGCGTTCACCAATCAATAGTATTGTTTCATTTAGAGAAGTCACTTAAAGTCAATAAGGCTTCTGTATAAAAATAGTCTTCAAGCTGAAGTCTTCAAATGCTGCCCATCATCCTTCATCAACGGATTTACTTATATGGAAGAAAGAGCTAATATCAGATTAATTACTGCAGTAGGGCATCCTGCCTTCAATTCCCACGAAAGGTAATAAAATGTGTTATTATATAAGAAAATTGAGAATTAGCCTGCAAGATATCTCTGGGAATTTTTGCCTTTCTTCTGCTGAATAGATTTATAGCTATGAGACAACAGAAGGGCCTCTAACCAAACGATGTGCAGATCAAATATTCATGTTGAATAGAGCGTTGGAAAATTCAAATGTCATAATCTATCATCGTTCGTTTCATTGATTTTACAGCTGCCTTCGATTCGATTGATAGCTCTAGAAGGTGATAGAAAGCGACGCTGTAGAAGACCATTCGATTCATAATGGCAAATACAATAAGAAACCGGATGCTGATAAAATTCCATCAAGAATAGAGAAAAACTTAAAATATCTCGGATTCACTCTAAAACTAAA